CCCTTGGCTCTTCCCCCGTTGGGGTTGGTAGAGAAATGAATTGCTTTTGACTATCTTCAAAACTTCAGCAGCAAAAATGCCCTACTGAAATATTGCTGGAGTATAGTTTAAAATTACTGACAGCTTGTGGTAAATGTTATGTTAAATATAATGAAAGCTATAATGTACAAGTTTATTTCTCAAGTGAAAAATACATTTTTCCTCAAACTTCTTTGAGTTCGTGGTGAGGAAGAGAACTTAAACTTGTTGGAGCTGAAGAGCAGTGTCTTAAGCTGAATGTTAAAATGACAGAACACTGATGATAAATTCAATACAAACCGTGCCATGGACACACAGGCCTCTGGAGCCCTGCTACCTGTCGTGTGTACTGGCAGCGTGTGCATCTCTTTCTCTGACTGAAAACTTTCCCACAGCTGTTGGCTGCGGCTTTACAGCAGAACAGGGGCAGTAGTGGTGGCCATACCACGTCTGGGAATATGAAGACACAGAGAGCTTCCAGCTGTGCTGGCCTCACTGATGATTATGCTGAGACATCTGTCTTTCAGCTGGGACTGTTTGGGTAGGTGCCGTTTTGAAGTACTCCTGTTGTGTTGTTTGCCTAGCTCTGCTACATATGTTTTTGTAGCTTACTGTTCAGATTTTTGTCAAAAGTGAGCAGAAGCTAGAGAAAAAGGCTTGCAGACCTATTCAGCCACCGAATGACTAGAGGGAGGGTCATTTTTTTTGCCAAAGGGTTGCTGAGCAATCAGTTTTTAGTGCTGCTTTGTTTTATGAGACTTTTTTCCCATAGCATGACTGTACTTTGAACAAAAAGTAATGAAATGGTGTTTCAGAGATGTTCTTTATGAGGCCGATGTTAATTGGTGCTTTCTTTTTCAGCTAATCTGCCTGTACCTGCTGTTGTTGCAATAGGTGGCAATGCATTAGGTGGTGGCCCAGAACTTGCGTTAGCCTGTGGTAGGAGAGTAGCAGGTAGGTCTGAATCCTGTTCACAGAATGTATGATTGTTAGTGTTGCAGGCAGCTTGCCTAATCCTTGTTTGGGCAACAATCTTACCAGACTTATTTTGTATTTGATGTTGTTTATAAGCAGTTGTTTTAAAGGGATTTAGCAGAAACCTGTCTAGGTACTGGCTAGTGCTTCATTTCGGAGAACTGAGCACTGACAGCTGGATTGTTGTTACATGTTTTATTTTATTCTTATGACCTTCGTTTTATCAGTATTACCAGACAGTTTAGCAAGCAAAGTGACAGCAGCGCTTGAAAAGAGGAACCTTGAGCTATCCAGCTGTCAGAACTGTAAAGCCATTTGATGGAAAGTAAATGGAAACTTGGTCCTGAACGGTTGCCATTAACGTATGGTGTATAAAGCTGTTTGACCCTTAGAGAATATTGTGTCAGCTAAAGAATTCATAATAATCTGATACAGAATTCTGATTATTAGAATTCTACCCCGTTTTAAGATGTTAAATAATACCAGTCTTTTTCTGTTAGTGTTTCACATTTTGCAAAGAAGTCTCTGTTATTCACTGTAATTGCTTACTTGGTACGGAGCTGCCTTGATGGGAGTAGTGGGATCTTTTACTAAAGGCAGGTCAGTCGAATCTGTTTAAAGATTTTCATAAACAAATGTTTTTTAAGTAATTTATTCTTTATAAAGGAAATGTAATAAATGAACAGTCTTGTAGTTCATGATTACATATTTTGCAAAGTTTCTTTCTTATAGATTATAGAAAGGACTTGTTTACAATCTGGTTTTTAGCCTCTTCTGCTAAAATGGGCCTAGCTGAAACAAAGTTGGCAGTCACTCCAGGTGCAGGTACGAATGTTTTACTTTCGTTGCCATGGTTACCTAAATAACATGTGCTCTTGATACTTGATTTTGGCTTCTTGTTTATGAATTTC